AAGAATGATTAGTATTTTAACCTAATTAAATTTGCATACAGAAAGAAAGTTCCAAAGTGTTTTGCTTCCTTCTACAGAACCAAATGGGTCAACCGTATGCGGTGCCATCAGAATTTGCACCTAGGAATTTGCTTGCTAGCTTTTGCTTTGTGACAGAAACAAAAATTATTGTAATTATGCAATGTGTCAGCAATTTTCTTTAAATATAATACGATACAACAATGGAGTTCACCTGAAACATTTTGGGCTTGTTTTCTGCAAATAGAAAATCAAAGTATGCTATTTCATCTACCTTTGGCTTTCATTGTGACCTTTCCCATTTATCTTCACTCTTTCCTTAATTATCTCAATAAAGAGACAATTGCTCCTCTTTCATAAGGAGCACAAAGATGAAGGAATACAATTTTATCTCTTTGTAGCTTCCTGGGATGCTTTATATTTTTATTTCACTGACAGCTTCCTCACTCGGTGAGCTTCAGTGTTTCCTGCCTGTGCTTCTTGCCTCGCAGCCGCTCTCTGTGTTAGGAAGCGGCTGCCGTGGGGAGGCTGCGGAGCCTCTGGCTTTGCCGGGCTCCTGCTGCACGGCCTGGAGCCGCCTCGCACGCAGAGCCCCCGGGTCACCTCTGCTGCCCGTGTGAGCAGGGCGGCCCCGCCAGCCTCCCTCAGCCCAGGCCAGCACCGCTGGCCCTGGCTCTGGGCTGCCCCGAAGCCCAGTGGGCCGTTTCCTGGAGAAAACTTGCTGGAAAGGGTTGCTAGGAACCAAAAAACATAAAGCTGATAGGAAGGCATGGACAACAAGGTGTGTCCACTGCCTGTGCCCTCCAGCAGCCGTGGCTGCAGGGCTGTGCCAAGTGATGTGTCTCTGATAAAGCCAAGCGGTAGCCCCTGGAACGGAGCCTCATTCCTGCTCCACATCCCTGCTCCTTCCCTTCGGCTCTGTCCTCCAGGCTTCCCAAAGTGCCCCTTTCCCCCCAGGATATGCTGCAACAAACAGGCAGGGCTGTCCTGACGGACACCATGGCAAGTTGGACTCAGAAACACAGAGTCGAGTCTTGAATATAAATGTTGATGCTTAGATGTTTTAGCCCACCTCTTGCGCAAGGGAATATGATGCTGCGTGCGCACGCTTGGCTTTTCAAAACTAGGATCCCTTCGGCATTGGCATCTTTCTGAAGGATCAGAAACACAGACATAAAAATACAGCTACAGCTTGAAATCCTTAAATGCTTTTTGACAAAGAGGAATTAAAAATAGTCAGTTGAACCCTTAAGCATAATGAGAGAGCTGGAATACTGCCTTTGGCTGCTATGGGAATATGCCCTCATCTGGGGTGCATAAGGACATTCCCAATATCACTTTCATCTTTTGGAGCAAGATACCAAACATTAACAAAATGTTCTGCAAAATATTCCTGTGAGTTAAGCATGCTGCAGGTGAGCAATCTAAAACATATATAGATGAAGACATATATTTATAGCTACTGAGGAGGCCTGAGAAAAGATGCTTGTCCCATGGGTACTGATTTTGAGTTCATTGACACTGCTATAATAAAGTAGAATTACTGCTGATTTACACTCATGTTTGACCAAAATCAGGACTGACAAGATTTATTTCTGGCCATCCTGAAACTTATGGGTACAATTCTCAATGGGATTTTTGGTGGTTTTGGACTTTTTCAACTACTGAGCATTATGTACTCTACTAATGGACATCTTACTGTGTCTTACTGTGTCTGTGTCTTAATGCACATCTTACCTATGTGGAGTCAGTCTTTGCGCTTGGGCTGCAAGAAGATACTTCCATATGGGAATTTAATGATTCTCTCTTAGTTATACCCTGAAGGCAAAACAAACAAACAAAAAAACACTCAAGAGCTTCTTTTAAACATTTCTCCACAATCAGATAAGAAGGTCCTTACCTCAACCCAGTTCCTTTAGTAGCAAGGCTATCCTGAATATCATACTAAACTAAAGCTATGTATTATAAATAACGTTTTCATAATTGGTCTTATGTTTGTTTCTGATCTTAGGCTAAGCCACAGTACCACTGGGTGCACTAGGGGATAAATAAATCTTTCCCTGATAAACAAGAAACCCAAAGTGTTGATGGAGCATGAAACAATTATGTGTGACTCCACCTGATGCTGCTGAGCAAGCTGTTCCCTTTCACTGTGCTATTATTAGACGGGAATGCAGTGGGCTGGAGAGCATCCTTCATTAATGGAATGGTAGGATAACCAGGATGGCACAGAGCACAGCTCTTTCTCTACCACAGCTCACATCTCTGGGTCCATGAGCCATCTAACTGAAGACCTAAACAAAAGGTCTCCCACTAAATAAGCACATTTGAATGAATTAGTAATTTAAAAAAGAGTCCTGAGACTCCACTTATGCACCACTTATTTGATTTAAGACTTGTGCATATAAATTTAAAATTTCTTTATATACGTATATGGCTTTGGCTTCTTCTCTTTTCTTTTATGTAGACCACGTTTCTGCACAGTTGTTTAATAGTAAATGTAAAACTTGGGAATTGCAACAGCAATGATGCGAAATGAGAGGTTAAAAGCCCTTTGTGTTCTGAGTGCAACAGTGCTGGTAGCACTGACGCAAGACAGACCTGCATGGACCCAGAAATTGCTTGGAAGACAAACACATTGGAAGAAAGCCTCAGAAACGCGGTGCTAAAAATGGAACACAGGAGTCTTTAAGGCATCTGTCCAGGAAAGAGAAGAAAATATATTTTTGGCAGCCAATGCTGAAAAACAATCATGCAGAGAATACAACAAATTAAAATGAACAGAAAACACAAGTGCTAGTCTCTACCTTGACTTTGAGAAACCCTGTGCTATCATTAGCATGCTGCAGGAAAATGAGCATTGGTGAACACCTACATGGTGCTGTAGTGTTGTTTTATTGCTATTCTATATTGATAGGTATTGATATTTTATTGACACTTCTGGCATATTTATTTCACCATTGTTTCCCTCCTCCCTTGATCCACTGAAATTCCATTTATTTTGGTCTCCTGTAAGTGTAATGGCCCATACTTCAGATTTGTTCATCAGAGACCCTTATCCCCCCAGGAATTCAAGAATCCTTGTGGGACTCCAGAGCATTTTACCCATCCTTATATAATGATTTTCAGGGCTGGGATTTCAGATGCTAAAATGCTGGCCTTTGAGAATTGCTTTATCTTCCACTCTTCATTGCTTCATATTTATATTTTCTATTATTTTCACATTTCAAAGCCTATGAAGAATAGAGCAAGCATATTTGTCACTCTGCAAAAGAGAAGGACAAGGCGCAACTCAGTACTTGAAAGATTCTGTATTTCTTTGCCTCATATTTTATTGGCTGTCTTGACATCAAAGGAAGCAGTTTAGCCTTAACACAAGACCATAAAAGCTTTATTAGGATTAAATGGGTCATATATGCAAAAATATACAATATTAATATATACAATATTAATACTGAGTAGCTTTCTTTGACATAAGAAAAGTAAGTTGAAAGAATCAAGCAGTTAAGTGTAGTTAACTATAAACAGAGACTGCTGCAAGGTTCAGTTCTGGAGTTAGAAACAAAAGCATTTATGGAGTATTAGGAAAAACCTGGGGAAGTTTTCTGAAATGTGAGGAGAGGAAAGGCAGTGGAAGTGCGGCAGGAAAGCAAAATAAAATCATAGGAGATAGGGAGATGTAGATAGAAAAGCGAAACCATATAAAAAATGTTTAACAAATCCCAGTATTTTTGGGGGAAATAGCAACAATGCACACCTCTGAATTAAAAAAAAATAATAAAAAAAAAGAATTATATTTCAGGAAAATAATAAAAAGATATTTTTTGTTATGTAATCAGCCTGGAGCAGCAGTGCCGATTAATGCAGCATACCTACGGTGTGTTGGAAGCACCAGGGGACCACTGCATTAATCAAGCATTACGGCACAGTTGGGCCCGGGTTATTAGCTTAATTGAAAAATGTTTTATTCTCCCCGCTCTCCTCTTGTAATGATGCTCGGAGTTGAGCACAGCTCCTCCCAACGACATCTAAAAACTTAATAAATAAATGGAGGGAAAAGAAAGGGAGAAGGGGCGAAAGGGAGAAAGGAAAGAAGAAGGAAAGAAGGAAACGTGTCGTTAAGAATTTGGTTTTAATGAGATGACAAATCTTTACTATTTTCTATTTGCCAGCTCAGGATGAATTTATAGCCATTGAAAACGAATAAAGAGGGCGATAGAGCACGCGGGAGCGGCGCTCAAGGCGGAGCAGCGCCGCCCGCGCCCGGGTCTTTCCCCGCGTTGAAGCCGAACCGCGGGCAGGGAGGGCAGCGCCCCCGCCGCGCCTCAGGCCGCCGGGGGGCGCCGCGCGGCCCCTAACGGCCACCCAACGGCCGCCTAACGGTCCCCTAACGGTCGCCTGACTGTGGCGGGACGGCTGAGGCTGCGCTGCAGCCGCCCATGTGCTTCATGGGCACGAGCCCCAGCGTCACCGCCGCCGTGCCCTGCCCGGCCGCGCTCTGCGGGGCGGCCGCCAAGTGCGGCGGCGGGGCCGGCGGGGCGTCCTGCCGGGGCCGCCCGCCTCCTGCTTATTTTAGCGCGCTCCTCCCGCCCGCCCCCTGGGGAATTACCAGCCCGCTCGGGGGCCAGGTACACTTGACGTCAGGATGGCTGGCGTAGTTTTGACGTGTAAACACTCATTGCCATTCCGGCTCCGGAGGGTCTGCGCGCCGCGCAGCCCCAGGCAGCCGCGCCGAGCTGAGCCGCGCCAAGCCGAGCCGAGCCGCGCCGCGCCGAGCCGCACACGGAGCCCGCCGCGGGGCCGCTCCGCTCCGCTGCGCTCGCCTAGCAACGAGGGCGCCCCGCGC